GATAATCCAATATCTCTGTCGAATAGAGGCCAAGACATGCGCTACTCCACAGTGCCCTTCCACTTCATGAAAATGACGTATGATTAAGGCGGTAATAGGATGTCGGTTTGGAAGAAGAGCTGGATGCTTTACTGACTGACTGTAGTTCGAGTAACTAAGTCTGCCCCCCACGCACAAAATGCCATCAACCAAAACAGGTGACAATTTTTGTAAGCTGCCGTTTTGAGTCCGATTGCGGGAACGCTTTGCATCCAGTACAGGAGCGTTAATCTGATGCAGCTCTCGTGCAAAGTGAGCAGATTGCACCATCTTTATCAAACAATTACGTGCTTGGCGGAGTTCGGATACTCTGATAACACCAGAAGGTAAAGCCTCCTTTCTCGCTCTGCCCTTCTTAATCAATAGACGTTGCCCGTAATGCAGTAACCAAGCCACGACCTTCGGTAGCTTCATCCAACAGGAGGACCAAGACATTAATGGGCACATGACATCATTTCCCTCCCGTCGGTTAGCCTGTGCTACAAGGCTCTTCAGAGCGTCTCTATCACAGGGGTCAACCTTGACCTGTAGCAACATCCCTTTAATGTCGGCTGCCACAGCAACTTGCTCTAAACGAAAGCCCACCATAACATTTACAAGTTTTGTGGTTAAATCGGGGCCCTGATACAGGTGGTCGTTTAGGGACACACCATGACATTTGGCAGCGCAGTCAGATACGATCCGAATCTTTTCTGGCTTTTTTGGGTTAATAACCTGATGATGTGGGAGATACCACTGCTTTGAATTTAATGACAATGTGGAGGCATCCGCCACCCGTTCAATGTATCCTTTCTCCATGTATGCGCGAAGCACCTTATCGTACTTTCCGTGTAAAACACGATCCTTGCACAGTCTAGTTTTCAGATTACCTAGACGTTTTCTAGCCACCTGGAAGTTATCGGGTAGGGTAAGTGCGTTATCTTTCCATGGGAGCGGTAGCTGATAATGCCCACTTACTCGCACTGCACTAGTCTCCGCTATCAACAGTGCTCTTTGATCCTCTAAAGAGAGACTAGTGTTCGATGCTGAAGTGTCTGCGAATTCCGAGTTGTACAGTCGCTGCAAATGCTCCTGGATGCCCTGACTACACCCGGTTATACAATGACTGACGACCTTCTGCTTCGTTCCGTTTTTCATCGGACCAAGGAGCATCCAACCTAGTAAAGTTTTCACAGCAAACGGCTGTTTTTTACCCCCCAGGCGCTGGTCGAAGACCCAGTGCGCTTCGGATACGTCACAACCAATAAGGATTCCCACATCGTCTTCAGTCAGTTCGTCGAAGGTAACTTCCTTAAGGTGAGGCCACTTGCGAGCCGCTTCTTTGATGGATGGGACAGCTCGCATAGGTAAGCTGTCAACGACGAATGCCTTGTCAACATCTATCGACTGGCTTTCATCCATTGATAAAAGCCTGATATCATTAGCTTCCGATGTGCATCCCATGGAACCACCCAGGGTATCAATAACCATAGACGTGGGTAGCAGCCTGACCCCATTTTTCACCAAAAGGTCCCGCCTTACCAGCGTTATGTCGGACCCAGCATCTAAAAATGCATACGTTGTCACCTTTCCTGCAGGACTGTCCAGCTTGATAGGAATAACTCCTAAGCGTGCCGGAAGTCGACTACCTTGAGTTAAGGCACACAAAACCTCCGGCTCTGAGGACGTCGAACCTTTGTTTCTGGGTTGTGATGTATGTAACAAACTATGATGTCGTCCCCTGCAACCCGGTTGGCCACATCGAACTACTAGCTTGCAATCCTTGGCCATGTGGGAGTCCCCTAAACAGGCAAAGCAGGCATTATGTTCTCGTATGCATTTCCACCTGTCAGGAACTTTCATAGACAAAAACTGCTGGCAACTAGAAATTGAGTGGGGCTGTAAACATAATGCGCAAGCACTTGGACGACCGTCTGCGTCTTGTCTGATGTTGGCTAGGAAATTGGCATAACCGTCCCGTTTAGGGGCTTGGTTGGTAGAAGTCGGTGTTACAGGGGGGCGTCTTACGTCCCCATCTCGAGCCAGTTGCCCGAACCGACTCCTTGCAACACGAGAGCGCGTGTTCACAAACTCCGTCAAGTCTGTGAACGTTGGATCCCGGCCACTCACAGATATCTTATCTGCCACCTCAGCCCATTTGTGCTGCAATGGCGAAGGAAGAGAACGCACAATTCTCTCTACAACCGCTAGTGAGTGCAAGTCTGAGACGTAACACATTTGCGTCAGCGCAATTTCGCAACTGCGCATTTTTATACACAAGTCCGACAAGGACTTGGCTGCTCCAGTGGTCTGTCGTGCAAAACGAAACAGGCTTTCTAGTAGACAGCGAGCGATAATATGAGGCTGGCCAAAGAGATTGCGTAAAATCTCCCGTGCCCTGGAGTATGCTACTTCCGGCGGAAGCATCACACATTCTTCAATGGCCGCTTTCGCGTCGCCTTGACAGTAGTGGATCAGATAAAGGAGCCTCTGACCGGCGTCCTGCACCTTGCTCTCAATATATAACTCAAATTGGCGGGTGAACCTCCAGTAATGACACGGATTACCATCAAAGTATGATAGTTCCACCTTTGGTAGGTCCATAGTGGCTGATGCTGGAGTGACGGAGATGGCTGGTTCTGGCCCTCTGATATCATCAGCATATCTTAATGGTCTTTCACCTGTCTGACATTGCTTCACGTACCCCGCTAATCGTTCATTTAGGGCCACTGGTTCCCAGACTTCATCTGGTGAGTCCTCTTCGGCCTCTAGCTCAATTTTGGCTAACTCAGTTTTGCTATGCGCCTCTAAGAGAGCCCGCTGGAGTTCGACCTCCCGCTTAACCCGGTACTCCTGGAGCTGAGCAATCCTTAAAGCTTTCATAGCTACACTACCTTTACGACTAGAAGCACAAAGTGACTTACAAGAACCAGGGCGCGAAGCAAACTGCATTGCAACTGTTTCCTCCGCAGCTTCAATCGTTTCCGTGTCCTTGGATCCGGTTTCCTTCACAGTTGTTCCAAAGGTTGACATCTTTCCTTCAAACAAGACGACGTAAGATGTCGAGTACTGTAACGGTCGAACGGTATCTTCGAGTGACGCGTAATACCAGAACCTCCGGGTAGGCAAAACAAAGTCGGAGCTGGGTTTCTATACGGTACTATTAGGGTAAGAGAAATTCACAATTTGTACAAACCTCGACAGTAGATACGCGTCCAAAACAAACAGTCCGCTTGGACTTCAAAAGTGCAAAGCAAGGGAGCAAACAGGCTCCAACGTGCGACAGTCACACGTGCAAAGTCAGATACAAATGGCCGGATGACCTCAAGGCCAAATGGGTGAAGTGGTAAGGACAAACAAACGTCAGTTCATATATACACACTAAACACAAAAATGGGGCGGGGGTTACAAATGGGGGCATAATAAACGTGGGGAATTTCATTGTCAACATAACGGATGTTACATCATCAGTGCGTTATTGTGGAGTGCGGTGGTGCGTAGCAGTGGGTTAGTGGTTGTGCCACAAGTCTAATGAGTTTGAGGGACGTCACATATGATGGCGTGCCCTACCACAATTAGAGTGATTTCAATAAGTCTGCTTGTTCTCAGATTGCACCATACTTTTGAGACTAAACCTGCTATGTTCCCCCAATTCGAATTATCCAGCCTCCACCTCCACTTTTGCTCGTTGCAAGTCCGGCCATTTTCCTAACCGCCCAAGGCCACTGGTGGCCAGCAATGCTTTTCTGTTTTAGTTCATGTCAGCTGACTGAGTATTTGAGTTAGTCGGGTCTCATGCCCATTGTTCCCTACAAGTTGCGAAAGAAACCTGTTATTATTATTTCCTCGAATACTTCTCACTATTCATGATATTGTCCCCTTCTCGCGGAATCCACACTACCCGCAAATCCCCCAGTCGTGCCGTGTTCTGACTGTAAAGGCATGATCATGCCAACGGTATGCCACTCATAAGTTAGGAATAAACATTATTATTATTGGCCAAATGATACAGGATAGGGATGGCTTTGCACTTGGTAGACCAGTGGCCATTCAGGGGCTGAGTTCCATAATATATGGTAATAAAATGCAAGAGATCTAGGACAAACCGATATAAGCGCACAGAGAGGTGGTGCGCCTAGGGGAACCAAACGCATATAGACTGACGGGAGTGGACTTGCGGAATGATGTACTGGTTTATGTGACGGGAGTTACGTGATTTGCACAGCCCCATAATCTAGAGAGTAAGTGAATGCAAGGAGAAGATTCATTAGTGGGAGAAGTGCTGTTATCAGCTTTAAGTTAACAAGTAGTGCGTGGCGAAAATAAAGCCTTTGGGCACCAGGGGCGCATACTGGTAGCGGAGAATTAGGAAACTCATGCGTATAACTGTGTATATATATCGTTGTATGCGTCAACTCCTGAGAGTGCTAGGTAGATGCATGTGGATTGGTTGGTGGACAAAGTGGACTTTGATTCGGTACGATCCCAATTATGATAAAGGCAGTCACAGTTCCGCATGGTGATGTAAGCCGTTGGCATCGCAGAGTTTTCAGGATATCTCATCTTTTTTTTACGAATTTCTGCTTTTACAACACGATGAGTGTAACAACCGGGACGAGTCCAGCCCATCAGCAACGAGCATTAAATGACGGTTTACTTGTATTGGTTTTCTGAATTGAGGGCTATCCTCGGGGCCACTGGCGATGGGGAAACACTCCTACTACCGTATTGGTGGGCGTACAAATACACTATGTTGCAATGCAACAGGGCAACTGTTGTAACGGTATTTTCCTCAGCTTAGTTCTCGGTCTGAGCCTCCCAAGCTAGCGTTCACTTCAAAACAACCACCAAAGGTGCACAAGGTCTATTAATGCCCAAAACGAAGTCAAGAACAATTGTACAGCGTAAGCGGTTATAACTTTCTGGAATTTCTGATGCGTTCTGGATGCGCCACTGGCAACCGGCATTTGGCCAATACTGGGTCATGTTTGGCATTTCGGTCCAGATTGTTGACCAATCAGATCTCGTCTTGATGCCGGATCGGAAAGCGTCCCGAATTCTGGGCCAACCTCGAGCGGGCCAGGCTTATCGGCCGTAGCGGCGCCTAAAGACGTGCGGTATAGCGGGATTCGTGTGTATTCCTGCCTAACAGCGACCCTCCTGCAATATGTACCAACCGCCACTCGGGGTTCGCACATCTCGGGCTTGCATCCAGATTTTAAGTGGCATGCCACTTGGTAGCCATAATTAAGGTTTGTGCATTACTAGAGAAATTCAGCTCCCTTGTATCTCATCCGGTCGTGGAAAAGGCAGGCCAGTAAACACACTCAGCGATTTTGAACAAGCGAACAGCAAACAGCCGCTGGATATGACAGGTCCCGGCGGGGCAAATTAGATGGCAGCTACTGTTGGGACGATGGGAACAGAACGAAAATTCCCCGAGCGTGTGAACCATTTCCAAAAGGTGATGGAGTGTGAGGTGCCGAGCAAAAGGGAGACGCACTGCAATGTCATGTGTGCGAAAGATTAACAGGCTGCCTGGCGTATAATACAACCTTTGAACAAGCAGCAAACAGCCGCTGGATATGACAGGTCCCGGCGGGGCAAATTAGATGGCAGCTACTGTTGGGACGATGGGAACAGAACGAAAATTCCCCGAGCGTGTGAACCATTTCCAAAAGGTGATGGAGTGTGAGGTGCCGAGCAAAAGGGAGACGCACTGCAATGTCATGTGTGCGAAAGATTAATAGGCTGCCTGGCGTATAATACAACCTCACGCATTGTGAACTCCGACTTTTGTTTGGCTTATGTTGGTTAGGGCCAGGCAAGACGAAGCATCACCCCCCAAACAGAGCGGATATTGTGGTCCGAGACAAGGACCCAGCTGGAAGGAACGTGGAATACGTTGCCTCAGGGAGAAGGTGGGTCAATAATAGAGCATACTCTGATTAAGCTGGCATTGCGGGCGATTGTTGCTTCAAGCAAATCACAGGGGTAGCAATTTATAGCAGCGGAGTGGCTTATTCATTCCAATTATTGTTTTGCCTTTTCGTCCAATAACTATGCCACATTTTTGGCAAGATGTTTTTGGTATCAACTCACCCATGGGTGACGTTTCATTCACGACAGGGCCAAGGTTTGCCATTTCTACATTACTGTGTTGCAATGGCATCTTTGCACGCAGGCATAATTTGTGACTCCATATTGAGATTCAGACACATATTCTTAAAGCATGTTAAGGTTCCCTAATAATTCTCTCGCGATGAAGCTGACACACCACGATCATGAACAATGTTGCACGCACCATGTACATCACCCAGCCCAACTGTAGGCGGCAGTGCAAGTGATAATTTTGTTCCCACTAAAGACACCTCATAGATGCCAGGTTTCTCTGCTCTGTGTATCTTGGTATACATATGCGACTGCGCTGACTTTGTTGACTTCGCTTATACATGTTACACTGAAAACCGCACATCAGGTTTCCGCTGAAATAAGGAGAACACATTGGTTGTAATCGATGGTCCTTAACAATGTCACTGGCCTTTGGAGGATTAATAATATTTTTGCTATGAGTGGCATGATACTGTGAAAAGCCGTCTAGTTTAGGACGTCCTAGCCATTTTTACTAGCCAGTCCAGCGAACGTGATCCTGGAGACAGGAAATTACGTAAGTTGTGTAGGTTTCATGGGCAACGGTGCTTTCCCACCATTCGGTAACTGGTACTCTAAAAATCGCCGTTGATATATGGAAAACTGACCCGCCCGGAAATTCGTTGACAGAAAGCTGCAATGGCCCCTGTAGGCCTGACCACGTGGAACCCATGAAACCCATGAAACCCATAGAACCACGGAACTCATGAAACTATGACACTCAGGCCTTGTCCGTTTGCACTGTCAAACTGACATCAGCGTTCCTTGCCTGACCTTGAAACCCCAGCCAATATGGATTAGTCATGCTGATATCGAGCAGTTGTCTGTATGCATGCGCTCTATATAAACCTTGCAATCATGTAATAAAAATTGCATGCGACCCTTCGCACACCGGAAAATAGAGGAACGACCTTCCACTGACATGCTTCTCAGGGATTTGTTAATATGCATTTTGCAAATGACCGTAGCCCATGCACTTGTCATACCAGGAGACATGAAATATGTAGTTATCGTTGACGCAGGTGAGCAGATTAGCATTCAGCTAACAGAGTTTAGGAAGTAGTGGTTCACGTGTATATGTATATACCTGGCGCGATGGAAGCGGTTTAAAAAGTCCAGAACTTCTGAAAGATGAGTTCGGGAGGCCTGTAGTAAAAAAAACTTCGCCTGGACTGTCCAGTTTTGCACATAATCCGAAAGATGCCAGAAAACACATAGATGATTTATTAGACTTTGCAGAGAGCGCAATTCCAAAATCGTATCTCAGTGGGACGCATGTATACGTTTTTGCCACAGCCGGGATGAGATTGCTCTCCGCAAAGTAGGTCAGCGCTTTGTTGCGTTTAAATTCGGATGCAGATATCAATGTTTAATATGGAGGAATGTGAGATCAGAAATAAGAAGCCGCTATTCATTCGAATTCGCCAATACAGATGCGAGAACAATCTCAGGAGACGAAGAAGCCCTCTTCGGTTGGATCGCGGTTAACTATCTCCTCCAGCGGTTTGATCGGGATGAGTATGGTAAGTTTCAGTTGGATTTTCATGCACAATGAGATGTTGCTTCAATGGTTTTGCTAAAAAGTCAACAATTCAGCGACACTCACAATTTTTGGCTTTTGGTGACTCAGAATTGTTTGACTGGTATAGGTGTCATTTTCGTGATCAACGTTTGTCACTTTAGCAGCATATTCCTCGATAAAATTTTAAACGTAGATGGTAAAAATAGTTTGCATCATTTGTGCAGCTGGTATCAAACCGACAGATTTCAAACATCCTTCCGAACGATATTTTCGGGCTAAATTTCACTTGTGCGGTTTGTGACTCATCAGTGGCGCTTACTTCTGGACTCTCCTGACGTTAATACTACCGAGGTGACTGCTAGAAGCAAGTAACAATATGTCTCCACGGACACTGATTTCTAGAGATACGCAGCAGGGAATTTTATGGCGTGCATAATTTTAGGTGAGTCAAAGTAGGGAATTTGCTTGGATATTTTTGACTTCACGTGGACCATAGCTGCGCTTTTTCTCAGTGGCTCACCGTATGCCTTTTCCCCATAGACCTTGTGTTATAAATGGTAAAAATAGGACAAGATTGTTCGTTAGATGTTGTTTTGACATGCGTCAGTGTTGTCGAAGTATTATTCAAACTGATTTGTTCAGCTCGCTTGAACAGGTTTGATTTTTTGAGTAGATAAATCATAACAATCCTCCTTATACGGCAACCTGTTGGTGTGTCCTTAATTCACGTCAAGTTGTTTAAGCCCAGACAGGTGCAATCCAAATGCCATAAAATAGTATGAAGTACACATCCTTCGATTGACACTCCTTAACATACGAACTATCTTCAGTGCTTACCTGAGATTCATTTAGTCGAAAACGTGCTTTCATCAGCTGATGTTCAGTTTGAACTTTGACCCAATCTCTACTGATGCCTAAGACACATACTCCAGAGTGAACAGTATAAAACTATCTCCTGGCCCTCTTACAGTGTTCTATTCCACAAGGTTCTGTGATGTCGGTAGAGTGTGCTTTGTATATATTGGTAACCGTATTTACATGCTTAAATGAAGCCCGCTGCTGCAGAACAGTCACGTCTTGCAAGACTACTAAGTTGTCGTGGACAACTAGTAGACTCAAAAATCTTACTAATAACCATCAAGAGGATTCAGATTGTCAAAAATCCTAAGAACTGGACTCTTCATCTTAAAAGTTTGCCGGTACAGAGAACCAGTCTCCAACTTCCTTTCTAAGTAGTCCTTACAGAGTTATAGCAACATATTGTCAATTGTATGAGTGAATAATATCAATATTCCGTCTAGTTTATTTTCGGCAAGTGGATTCGTAATCTTTTGATGGGACATTTTATGCCGATTTCGAGGAGAAAGTTGAATAAGACAGACAAAAGCCACTTATTACGGCAGAAAAGCTCTCGCGGGTTTTGTAAGTCATTGGACACTATAACGAAGGACTTGAAAATTTAAGGCACACCTTTTTTGTTTTAGTGGGGTTTATTTTTATACATAGTTAAGAGCCAGCTTGAGGTCTTGAGTAAACTCATTATTGGTCTATCATATATGGCTACACATTCCACGCAATTAACCAGTGTAATCGATGAATCATCGTAGCTGCGTTCCCACTCGACGTTCTTTTAGTGCCCCGTGAACCTTGAATTATGTTGACATACGCATAGAGTGAGTACTTCGAGAGATAAGAAGTTTCCTATATGTACCCAGCTTAACTGACCGGCTTCAGCGTTTTGGACGTGTACTTTCTTTGGGATGAACGACTGCCACTAAAATGTTGAATCGTTATCCTAAACCGAAGTTGGTGAAGGTTTGGTATTTTTTCAAGGAATAAACTTCCATGAATATCGCATAAACTGTACAAACATCCATTGTCTTAGAAAACAGTTTGTGGTACCTCAGACAAGAATATGATACAAAGAGGTAAGAAGGCTTCACTAGCCTGTTTCATCTGTAAGAAAACCTAGGTAAAGTTGATGAATAATCATGGCCATTAAGAACATTCTGCTTTACAGCATAGGGTAAAAGTGGGCTTCCTGACTTGTGACTGCCATTTATGAGTCTAAAATCTGTTTGAGGATTATTATCTGCATGACATCAGTGTTCAACACCGATGCTTTACTGCCGTACAACCATGATTTATTTGAAAGCCTTGCTGTAAAAATAGAGTAAAGGTGGGCAGGGAAACGACTTATTGCTAGCTTACAACGATCATTCCAAGGTGCTTACACGTCCAGACATGCACTCAGGCCATCTGGATAGAAACTGACGATAGGAACGCCACTAAAGTCGGTTGGCAACCATGTCTTGTAATAAGCCACTCGCAAGTTTGAACGTATAAAGGAACTATCATGGTGCTGGTGGGTTTTGGGGGTAAATGACTTACAAGTAGACTATGGAGTGGCAAAAAATTGACATGAAAACGATTTTAAAGACAAACTAGGACACTTGTGTACTGCAACGTTTTACTTTCACTCGTGTGAAATATTGCACTGAGCTTTTTATAGGCATGCAGCAGGTAACGCTATCAGCACTACCTTGTATTTACTGTTTTGCGATGAAAAAAGCCATACCAAGGGAGATAGTCAAGAATTCAGAATGACTTCCAGGAAAAAGTTGAAGAACTTGTGTTATTGTTTCTAACGACGGCCATACGTCTGAAAAATATCCTTCAAACAGTAGGTAGGAATTGGTCTCTCGTTTTCGCATGCTTCTACATTTTTAAATTGTGTGACTTCTCATCAACGATTCTAAGCAGTCGACACTAATTTCAAACTTCACATAAAGATATGTGATTGTTAAGCGTTTTCTCAGATGAGCAGCCGACAAAGCCACGGCAGTGAGTCGCCGTACTGAGAATTAAAGCCCAAACAGTCCCTGACCACTTGCCTCGTCAATTACTTCAAAATGTAGCAACATCCAAGACAAAAGACGACGCAATACGATTTGGAGTTTGTTCATATTCTTACGAGGACCTCAAATACCGCAAACCATCTGATCAATAGTGTCCTAATGGGATATTAAGCATATGCACACACATGAGTCGTTTGTGAGCTACCACTTTTCGAAGGACTAGGATTGCCATACCAGTGCCCTTGGGCGATTGGGACACCCGGTCCTACATACCAAAGGGTGCTCTATGGTTCGCCCAAACCTATGCTATCAAAAGGGTTTTGGGCGGCAGGCCATAGGGTGCAGAAATTGCATGGGTTTTATTACGACTAAACTGTATTTTTTCATTTTTGCGGCAATTTTCGTGACAATCGGATGTCCAGCAAAAGTGAAACTCAACCAATACTCTGAGGACCGAACCATCACTTCTTCCCTGGGTTACAAGTAAACATTGGGTTATTTTTTGCACTAACCTTGGTCTGAGTAAGGTTTGCAAAGGACGTTGTGTCGATTCCACTTATAACACCTTACTTTGACATGATGCTTAGATGTTTAGTTTGTTAATGTGCGAAGATATAGGCGCCCTTCTTTGGTATTTTTGCAACCACCAAGATTTCTATACCAAGTTTTTGTCCTCCTCTTTGCTTATCGTTTTTGATGGATAGGTGTTTATATACCTGGACAAGTGTGAACAAGGGTTTACGGCCGACGCGTTGCTGCAGGTGATCCTTGGGCTGCCACCACTGGTGCTGTTGAAGAATTCTGTATGCTTACTGGAGATGTGCTACCGTGAGAAGAAAACTCGGTGCCTGATTAAGAAAAACCCCAAGGCAATTTTAAGTCTCGCCACAAGGGGAAAACACTGGGAAGAACAACTCCATCAACCGACTGACATGACTCAATAATATTACACTTATAACCCTTCAAAATACGTTTATCCCACAGTTAAGCTGGAGTGTCAGCCACTGAGGTTGTAATGGGCTAAATTAATGTTGGTTATGGAATCTGAAATTTGTCCGTGACCTATACGAAGCTCGTATATAATTTACGAATTACTTGAATAGTTATGCAAACTAAGTACTGTCTCTACGTTTGATCAGTGATTTATGTTGAAATTTAAATCTCATTTGGTAGCTTTCACAGGTGAATGTCAACAGAATAAAGTGTAAAATTCAGCAATTTCAAGCAAGTTTCTATATTATGTTCACTGAATCCGATATAATGCACTTCATTTAGAGAGCCGATGGGGTCATCAGGATCAGGTGAAGAAAGTTTTAGGTAAAAGTTACATATATGCACAATTCATTTCAATTGATGATTGGTCTTTTGTTATTTCAGAGAAACAAAGGAAATCCACATATGGCATGCTTGATCTCGGTGGTGCCAGCATGCAGATTGCTTTTGAACTCGAACCGAAAACGCGAAATTCGACAAATGTTTTCCCATTATCACTACGAACGAAATCAAGCGAAGATTATGGAAGCTCACTTCAGTCGTATGCCTTGTTCCTGCATAGTTATCTTAGTTACGGGGCCAATTTTATGAGAAAAAGGTGAGAACAACCTTTTGGAGAAAGGGATGTAAATTTCCTAAGATGGTGCTTAACAATATTTGTTTTTTTTTAAAAAAACCCCGCTTTTCTAGACTCTGCCAATCAGTCCCAGTACGGCTGTATTACTTTCCTTAATAGCTGCAGTTCGCGAGAATCCTCAAATTCCGCTGTTATGGGTAAAACTAAATAGATGTGTTGACTTAAATGTCGCTTTATTTTGTTCCCAGATCAATGAAGCTGGTCGTAAGCACGTGACACCAAGTATCATATCCCAATGCAGATAGTTGAATTGGTTAACCTCAGAAACCATATCGTAATACCTCGGATTTTAGTCAAGTGCAATGTGAACTCCTGGTAGAAACGTCTTCCAACAAGAAAGGCGTCATTTGGAAAATTCATCCTACTGAATCTCTCTGTATTGCCTGAACAACATCGCTTTAAGTGAAGCCACAATGAATTCTGGTTAGATAGACTATATGGAGGCGCTCAACTAAGCAAAAGAAGTGTCGTAAACATCAAGGACAACGTTTTTCGCCAAAAACACCAAAACGAAATCAATTTCATCTTATTCTACTTGTTCTATCCATACACTTTATTCCACATGCACCTTGACTTACGAAAGTGAAAACCTACAAATCTTTCCTTGTAGTAGAGCAATTTTGGTTGCTTCATATAGGTAGAAGCCCATCACACTGGCGACGTTTTGATTTCATTTTGACTTGATACGCAGGTATCTGTGCGCTATCCTTGCGGGGTGATATGCATTCGGTAATTTTATCGGGATGAAACATACTTTGCTGATCAAACATAAAGTAAAAGATTGGAGTGAAAATTAAACCTAGGAGATGTATTGGGATCAACAAATGAACCTAATGGCATGATATTTCTCTGAGATCGGATGTTGCAACTTCAAACAAAATGCTACGACATGTGTGTCAGTTGGGCTGTCTCAAGCTAAAAATTGGTTAACGATATTTGCGTTAATGTCTACTTATGAAGAATGTACACAGAACGGACTATTTAAGTTGTACGAATTGAAAGAGCCCCACTCACCTCAACTGAAGTAACTGACTTAAGTGGGTCTCAAGCTTTGTCAGATTAAGTAGAATCTTATCAGACACGTCTGACTGACCAAAAGAAACTAGAGGTATTTCCTTGCATCTGTTGAATTTCCGATCGTGAGGGACGGCTTCTTCGAAGGGGTTAATTTTTTTCAAGTCCAGAACCTCAGCCCCGAGAAAAAACACAGGCTTGCACAAACTTGGCTGTGGATGTCTTTGAAATGAGTGGTCACTATAATCATCATTAGCTGTAAAAACCCGCGCTTGCCGTACGGTATTTCTAGCTTCCACAGTTTCGTGCACCGGTGATTTTCAGAGGAGGGGGTAGACAGCCACGCATCGTACGTGGTAGCCAGTATGAACACATGGATGTCAGTGGGCCTAGAGAGAGATCTAGAGGGAACCATTCATTGAAGGTAACAACTCGAATGCATGAGCTTCAATGAGGGCGCGACTAGGATGTCTTAAAATGTCTGCGACGATGGACGTGTTCCACCCATTCAGGAAGATGGCAATGACCAGCGCAGCTGAGTTTGCTGGTAATGGCTTTCACAACTCGCTAGCAAGTCACTGTTTGACATCTAATGGCCCTTTTGCGTGGCTCTCCTTGCGTAGTCGTGCAAAAATGACACTCTGAGGAAGTCGGTCGACTTGCACGCGGAGCACATGATCACGCCAGCAACAATGATGAAGTGTGGTCATTTTGTACGTCGTGCGCGAGTTATATCTTCGGGGAATTCTTCGACATACCTTAGTATTACTGATTCGGTGTTCCAGTGAGACTCGGGCAATGCTAGTTGACTACAGTACCTTGACTGACAGCTGTCCAGGTAGACGATTTTGTCTACTATTTCAGTCCGCTCATCCGCAAGCATGAATTTAGAGTTTAGGCAGCGTCTTACGATTTGCCGTTGTGAATTGTCCGCCAAACCGGAGGGCAGAATGGTTTTGATTGTCTAATTTCATAAGAAATGGCCATGATGGCATCGGAAACGCCAAAAATCATGTAGATTCACTGAAATGCGCACCAACAGGATGGTTTCTTCGATGAATCTAGTTTTTGAAACCCCAGTCTGATCGTAACGTTGCCAAAATTGGACAGTATTCTTATGTACGCTGCACCGTTCGCTGTGAAGAATCAAGCGTTGATACCTTTGTGTGCTAACTTCTTTGTTAATTGTAAATTCAGTAATATCATTGTGGAAGTTAGCGGGCGAACTAGTCTCGACCAAACAGTGAAGTGTGATGTGAGGTGATTCTGATACGGTAGCTGAGGTGGAGACAAATTGTCTACCTGAATAAACAATGGTCATATGATATCACGCGATATCACAGTAAAATCACTCCACGTTGCAAACACCCATATGAATTGTAGCAAATCATTTATGTACTCTTTAGGGAATAGCTAGAAAGCGAAGTTTCTCTGCAAAAAGGCTCCACAAAAATTAGACTTTTGTATTACTTGATTGCTAATTTTCACAAAAAAGTCCGTGCTAGCTGGACCCTTTAATTTTAGGTTTGAAATGTAGACGAATCTTTGCATGTTCACCGAGAACCCCGTGTATTTTATGCGTACTTGCGTGAGGACTGCCTGATCGGATTCATCAAAACCGCTAATGGCGTAGATTTTGCCTGCCATATTTTCACAAGCTTTTTTCGGAACAGCTGTTTGGGCAAAAGGAGTATTTGCATCACTTCAACTCTCGTTCAAGTGTGGTGTGGATTTGAACCAACCTATCAGCCTATAATGCGCNAATATAATATAATATAATATAATATAATATAATATAATATAATATAATATAATATAATATAATATAATATAATATAATATAATATAATATAATAATTTTTTTATAGGAGGCAGTACTACGATCGCTTTCTTACTTGATCTGTGAGATTTTACAAAGCAACACCCGCCAAAAGTCACTTCATGCACACAAACACATGACGTTTCCAAACTGCCTGAGCCTCTTCGGTTCAAATGTTTTCATGAAGGTTGGTTGGTACAGGCCACACTGCATTGAGATTCACGGAGTAAGGTAGACAAAATTCCAATTTGGTCATGGTTTCAGAGAGAAAAGGACTTGGCTGTGGTAACCAATAACGCCAGTGCGTCATTGGCACATCCTAATGAATGACACATACGGTTTTTTCATACGGTTTTTCTGAATTGTTGTTGGACCAACCGCAGACAAACACTCGTACTTTTAACTCATACAAAGTACCACTTACAGCACTAGTGCATAGATTTTCTCACAAGAAACAACAACCAAGTTGTTGATTGACTGAAGTGTTCGGTGGGTAAACAGTTTTCTCGCAGTGAGTAAAAGAATAGGGTCGTTACAGTTTGAACGTAGAAACGTTGAATAATATTTAATTTCAACTAAGATGTATAGCTGTTGCGTGTTTTAGGGACGATGATCAAAATATGCCCGAGTGTTAGGTCCACGTAAAATTTACAAGAAGCACCAATGTGGTCGTTCAAATGCACCTGGGGAATTTTCGGACTACTCTGCTGATGTTACTTGCTAAACATAAAGGATCGAAATGAAGAAATTTTTGCCCGAAAATGTAGTACTCATCATATGTGTACTGACTGGAGTCAAACGACAAGTTTGATCTCATCCTTATAGTGGATGTTCGTCAAACGGGTCTTTCCACGTGTTGTAGGGTGTCGACCCAATGACATCATGAGAACCCTGAAAGGCACTCCCTAGAGGAGTTTCGCCTGGTCACCGTACACTGAATAATTCAGACGACTAGTATTTTGCGGACCAAGGTAGTCCCCACAGACCATTCCACAATCGTATGTGTCTTCTTACATTCTACGTATTGTCCCGTAAGGCCTCTATGGCACGCTTCGAGATTCGTTGACTCTTCCCCAAACCTTTTTCTGCGTTTTTTTGCATACCAAACAACCTATTCACCTCATTTTGATCGGTGATATTTTTAATTTTAGAATTTTAGAACGTGGCTTAAATTTAACCTGGTGTCTGTTCTCACCAGGGCCTACCCTAATACCATTTCACCTTATACGGCCCGATATCTCATTGGTAGTAGAGGATCTACAGGCAATCTTTCTTACTTAATCGTCAGCCTTGATTGCAACTTCTTATTTCTCTGTATTTACCGAAAAAACGTTTTGAAGTTGTATAAAGCTTTCATCGGTTTGAACTATCTCCTCTCAGATATTAATCATGTGAGCCTGTGATTACGGCTGTCGTTGAGCCGGATGTAATATAACGTCCCGAAACAAATAAATTACCTCATTTAATTAGAAAAGTGAGTTAAACCACTGTAATTTACTGCATCTGACAATGGATACTCTCGAACTATAAGGGAAATAAGGCACATAGTCTGAACAGTTTTGTTTCCGACTCCTGAATATTCTGTTCAGGTTTACCTAGGAAAGAAATGATGTTACCCCTGCTTGGCGGGGTGCGGATGGTGCCCACAGACAATGATTCTCATACTCTCGATAAGGGAAATAAGGCACATAGTCTGAACAGTTTTGTTTCCGACTCCTGAATATTCTGTTCAGGTTTACCTAGGAAAGAAAGAAATTTACCCCTGCTTGGCGGGGTGCGGATGGTGCCCACAGACAATGATTCTCATCACTATATACATGTACATATATATATATATATATATATATATATATATATATATATAT